TGGGGAAGAAGGATATAATATACCCGCTGGTCTCGTGGAGCGTTGCATGACTGTGTTGCGGAGTACTGTTTACCAGCGAAATCCAGAATCCTCGGAGCGAATTTCCTACGGTACCCTTCGTTCACCGTCAGTCTCCAATGAAGTCATCCGCCATCGAACCCCGCCAAACCAGTGAGAAGCCAGGGCATAATTCCCTGAGCTGTAGCACGGGGCTCTACTATTCCTTTATGAGCTAACTGAAATTTTCTTCGCGTGTTTCACTTCCAATGTCGAAAATGTTTTCTCGTCTGCTTTACTGTCGAGACATCTGCAGCATATCTCAGGAGTTATGTGACAGGATGTGACCATTTCCAGAAATTGTTTCACGAAATTTCCCTGCTACAAAAATATACATGAAACACTTGAGTCAGATTTCTCAACCCACAGCCATGATTCTAACAGAAGACATCCCGAATATATGTCAGGCTATTCGTCATCGTGCCAACACTGTCGGAGTGAGATTCTTAACTATAAGACTTCTGTAACAGCAGTGAGCTTTATTCTTCATTGCGGAATTAATGATCCATGCTATTTCTCGCGTTTCATCAGGGAGTTAGCATCATAGAAGCAAATTTTCATGCATTTAATTTGTTTAATGTTCTGGAGGGCGTTCTGTATTCCGATTTAAGCAGTATTAAATTGTGATGTATTCATATCTATACCTTAGTTACACTGCGTTATAAAGCAAATAGATTTAACTTTAAAACCAATTTATCTGTGCAACTGAATATTGCGTACAATCTTCAATCCATAATATATATATATATATAAGTAATTTTATTGGTTCTGATAGTAAACAAGACCCAAATCAAAGCACACAGTGTTTGTTCGAGTGTTATTTACACAACATTCCCTCCTCAAAGTAATCTATATGCTTGTTTCTATGTTCTCAATCATTGTGAAAATCGCAATGGTGTTACGAATTTCCGTAAGGATATCTGTTATCAGGTGTTATCAACTTCAGTGTAGACGTACTTGAGCTGAAATGTTGCGACTGGAATGGAGTACAGATAAACGGGTTATGCATGTCAAGTAGAGGACCTGTAGAACTCCACATGTGGAACTTAAAATTTCATTGACATGTTTAAGTAGACAGGACACTGGTCATAGTCAAGACCGAGATGAACCCAGTCCGCACACACACACCTTTAGGCGAATTATACGCTGCTCTTCTCAGTTTCGCTTTCCCTTATTCATAGAGTTAACCAGAAATAAAACACCACCCTTCAGAGAGATATATCATGTCCTCATGGGCTCAATTTTAGACAGCGTCTAAACAAAGTTTCTATAACGCAATGGCTCCAAGATGCTTCTCTTTGTATTTTGTTGCTAAAGACGGGGGTTTGAATGGGTAACAAGATTTATTGAACCCTTTAAACTCGTAACTAAAATTAATCATAGGGCTGTCGCTATTTGACACAATCTGCAAGTCACTACAGCACGCACCAAGGCTTCTCAGTCTGCTGTGTCTTCACCGGTTGTCGCATAGTAACGGCTACGTTTCTGCTTCCGTGTTCCACGGTTCCTGTCCTCACTGGCGGGCGACTGTGTTATCACGACTATTGAATAATTTTATCACAGAATAAGGAACTTTCCTCTTGTAGGAGTATAGCGGCGACACCTAAAATACCTTAATATTCCCTCTTCCTATTCAATGCATTAATTCCGATGAGGTCATTGGATTTTTCGATTCACCTAATCTTACCAGCCACACTATGGCCCTAGTGTCGTCTCAGCCTCTAACAGAAATGAGTACCAGGTATCTTCCTGGAAGTAAAGGGCGGCCGACGCGTTAGACTGACAATCTCACCATGATCTGTGAGCCGATTTTCTAACAAATGTGGGAGCCTCAACATCTCACAATCTTATGGGTCTCCACGGCCTGTTACAGGGATACCGTTTTATTACTATTTTCCCTTAGGATATATAGCTTGGGTTTATCTGAAATATCTTCTGCTCCTGGAAAACTAATACCAGCAGCATCAGCTGCAGCATAGTGTACAGCTCGAATTTATTCTAATTCAATGATCCATAAGCTAATTCTGATTTAGGACTAGTTTCCTATATCCAAGTGAGAGAGCGTATGGAGTTTTCCCATATGTCATGTCTGCTTACTGCGAGGTAAAACTCATTTCACTCTACTGACAAAGAATAAGACCACCAAGGCACATGACATACAGGAAATGTTAATTTCCTACAATGTAAATTTTAAATTATATTTCTGATGTGAAGTGTCTAAAAAAACCGGAATATTTAACAAAGCCAAAAGCGAACTAATGTGTAAATAAATAAATAAATTGATAGCATAGGCAACATTGTTATAAATGCTTTACAATTAAGTTGAAGTGGAATAAAACTTAAGAATATAGAAGTAAAGATGTTGTGATTATTTAGTTAAACACCATGTCATGAATACATATGGGGGAACGGAAATACAGCTCAAACTTTCTTGACCTTTGCACTAGATACAAATGAATAGTCAGCTTCACGTCTCTGCCGCTTTGCCTCCGGGGAAAGAGCTCCCGGTATTCATTGGATAAGAGGCTGTATGGGCCCCAGAATCAGTCTGAGCCCTGTGGGGAAAAGAAAATTCTTGCACTGCCGGGAATGGAACCAAGCCGTCCAGCCCGTAGCCCATCGCTATACTGATTGACCTACCCCGATTCCTGAATTGGAATAGTTCTATTATTATTTGATCAAATATAATTTTTAAAGTTGTGTAATATCTTTAAATTATGAATTTCTTTTGAGTCACTCTACTAATATAATTCACTATAGAACGAACTACGCTGTATATTGCATATTTATGTTTATATATGTTACTGTATTCTCCAGATGTATATTTTGCTTTTTATATCTGACTTCTTTGGCAATAAACTTGGCTCAATTTCACATATTCTGACATATACTGTACATCAAAGTGGCCTACTTCTTTGACTTGAGACCATGCAAATTTGGTGCACTCCAGTTCAAAGCTCATTCACAGTGTGTTTACCCTTAAGACTAGCTTACAGTACTGTAACTTGGATACGGAGTTACATGAAAGAGTGAAACAGTATTTTGCCCTAAATGCAACTAAAATAATGCAGAATTGTCACTTACCAGGAAGAGAGATGATCATATAATATTTCATGTTTATGTTCTAGCCAAGACAGAGAGAAATAAGCGAGGGATAGACTATTTGTCAATTGAAGGCGTGAAAAGGAGTTACTTCAATTTTTCTTGCCGGTATATATGCATAGGCATGTATATGTAAACCAGGATAACTAAGTCAGTGTAATGTCTAGGCTATTCGCTGGTCAGTGAGAAACTGTGGTTCGTTTTCCGGCAGGTGCAAGAGACTTTTCACTTCTCACTACCATACGGATTCCAGTGCCCAACAAATATACTACTCAGTGAAAACCGGCTGCTCTTTCTTGGGGGGGGGGGTAAAGCTGCCGGGGTTTGAAGCTGGCCACTCACCTCCATTTAGTGTCCAAGTTAAATATGACGGAAGCTATACTTGCATTCTCCCATATATCTTCACCCCGTGGTTCTTAATTAAACACAGAGTGTTGTATCCCTATGATGGTGATGGGATACGAGAGGTTAGCCGAGCTGGAGACTGTTCCTCGTAGTACGTTGGACACTTAAGGATTGAAATCCAAGTCGAACTCGCAGTACGATACAGTGAATATATTTAATATAAATGATGTTGATACAAATGTTGTACAGAGATCGAGAATATTGCGTGAATAGAAGTTTATGAAGTCCCTATGACGGAGCACAGAGACTCAGTGCAGTGTATGAACTGAAATCTATGAAGTCCGATCCGCGCCCCAAAACATGGTCTTTTAAAGAGGCTAGGATGGGCGTTGGCTGGCAGTCACATGCTATGATTTCACGTGGAGTACATGCTCATAGCAGATGATCCCAAAGTTCCTTGTTCTCTAGTCGACAAACAAGTGTTGCGTCATGCGTGCTTGTCTCAACCAGAGTTATCTTATTGTAATTAAAACTTCCTGTCTGTACAGTCAGACAAAATCATATACATATTGTTTAAAGTAATATATATGTATGTTAAGAGGTGCATATATTACAAGAGTCAACATACGCATGAACACTTATAGATACATACGTACTCTTTCTGTAAACACTCCAACGTTAGAAATGAAGTAGGATCCTGCCAATACTGATTACAGATCGGCTTCTTATCTTTTGATGTGTGCTTGTGTAATTTTCAGCGGACAAAGTAACCCCTGAGTAGGTTTTTCTGAGTGCTGTCACTTCCTCCTCTCTTCTCGTCGCTCCTGCAGCTGCACTTCTGACCTCACAAAATGACATTGCCGGGGTCAACTTGTGTTATCATGACGAGGCAAGTTGTGCAATTCTGACATCTAAATAAACCATCGGACCCTACCTCTTCATGAAAGTGTGACTAACAACTGAGAACCACAAGCCGTGCCGCAGGGAAACCAAATCTCAGTGCATATAATTGGTGTAGTAAGCCATATAACATCTACAAACAAAAACAAAGCCAACTACGTGGCTTTAGTCCGCAAGTGAACTACATCAACCGAGCGACCGCCGCTTGTCAGTGAAGGTAATGCAAATTTGGCCATCCAATATATAAGCCACAATAATCGATGATACATATATATATTTTCACGTGTTGGGTGTATGTTATGCGTCAAATAACTTCACGTTGTACCGAATTTAGCGAATTTATTGCACATTCGCTTTTACACTCACACAATTCACAATTACAATTACTGCAATTGGCATTATCATAATTACATCCACTGCTCTCAGTCACTCCGGCGAATTCTAGACTGCAACAGACTGGTTACGCTCTCTCTAGTAATTTATTGTACTTATCGTGGCAATTACTTAACCAAGGCTGGATGCAAACACTCAAACAAATCATTTTAATCTGAATATTCAAGTAATTCAGATCCTAACGGAAACGATTGTGAAATGTGGTTTCTTATGAACCAACCCACAACTCTATATTTCTTTCTAGGAGAAAAAGAAATCCAATTGAGACCTAACAATATATAGGCTGACACAAAAACTAAATGGAAAACTTTTGAAATCAGTCGAAGACTGCTATGAGCAGCGAAAAATGTCTTGTGCTTGTGACAAATGTCTAATGATGGCGATTCTAAGTCCAAGTTGTAATATTGTAAGAGTGGGACGATGTAGGATTGTAGAGAAAAGGAAAGTACATTGGCAGGGTTCTGCGAGATCTGAGGTAATCACGACTTTGAATAAAGGCTACTCTTTACTAAGATGTGACACCGTGTAATGCGGAAGATACTTTATTTACTGCAATTTCGGAGAAATGAACTTTATCCATCTTCAGCGCTGCCCAGAGAATGGAGGCAGTACGTTGCACCGAAACATTGATGAATTTTCCTCAGACTGCAGGACGTCTCATCCCAAAAGATAGGAATCTTCATTTAGGGGCTGATTTGCTAGAAAAGAGAGGAAACAAGATCTGATGATTATTAGTTGTGTAACTGATGACGTGTTAGTTGTTTTGTCTGTAGTTCAAGGTCTTTTAAGGTTCATGAAGACTGTATGTGGTACTATGAGGAAACTGTGAATTGTTGCAAGTTCCCGCGGCTATGGTATTGAGCAATATGGTGTTCTAGGTTGCAACGCAGTGAAATTCGGAAAAAAGCCGGATATTTCAGTGGAATAGATCGTATTGTCATGTGTAGGATTGTACGCGTGACGAAAATAACGGGTTCTATATAAGATGATTGGATTTATTGAAACGTTGGTTACAAGTTCTCTTAATCACACTCAGTCATAACGTCATCGCTATTCTACACATTTTCAGTTCACCGCTGCACTCGCAGTAGGATTCTCCGTCTTCACTAGTCGCGTCCTGTCAACGGATCTCAACACAGGAACTAGCACTTCAAATGTCTATGAAGGCTTGCCATTTCGTCTTCAATCACTCAGTAACCTCGGAGCTTAACTAAAAACTGATCTTAGCTCCAAGCGGACTTGGGTTATATAGCCGAGGCACGGACAACGCAGAAAGCACCGTTCTATTGCTTCGTGGAGCAGACCAGACAGAAAACAAAGTCACGTGATAACTACCCAGCTAGTTCATTGGCGCGCTGACTGCTGCCTAGGAACGGACTATAATCGTCGTCCACTTAGACATAGCTTCCATTGTTGAGCATTGGAAATTGCTTACAGAGCCGTTGTCTGGCAATGCGTTGATCAAATCAGATACATTATTTTGGTATATAGACCCGTTGATAGGCAACGATCATGAAATAACCAACTATACAACAGCTGTTATTAAGTAACGGCTCCGCGGAGAATCATGTTCTCACTGTACGAGTTGCACTGAAATAGAAGAAAGTTTTCTATGCCGGCCATATCAAAATTTTATAAACAGGGCCAGTTAGATGTTTCAGAGTAATCGGAACAATATTTCAGTAGATCGTGACAGAGCTCAATGGAGCTCTCCCTAGCTTATTTATATAGATGTCTTGAATGTTAGGTAATGGTTAGCTGTCACCTATTATAATCTCATTTAACTTCCTAAGGTATACGCAAATCCTCCATTTCCTCTTGCCTGATGCATCTAATTTCTTTGGAACTACCAGTAAAGGGAAATTTCATCCACTACTTCTAGGTGCTATTATATCGTCTTCTAGCATCTGGGTCACTTGCCTCTTTATTTCCTGCTGTTGTGCTTCTGGCGGTCTGTAATATTTTAAAGTGATAGCCCTACCCTTGGGGATGGTTGGTGTTGGACTTGTATGTTCCGTTGCCATTGTGGTAGTTAGTAAATCCTCTGGCAACTTGAATATGTCTACATATTCCTCACAAATTTTCTTAATTACAACTGCTCCTTCAATAATGCGATCTAGCCTTAAGTTTTCATTTAACAATTATAGACTTTTTGTTTTGGTCTCTTGAATTTTAAACTCTTGCCTCCTGTGTATCATGGTAGGCGGGTTCTCTAACTTGGGAGCCGTTGTTATGCAAATAAGTTGGTCAGTTAGGTTTATGACGAAACATGGAAATTCTAATGCTTCACAGCTTACTAAACTGGATGCGCACACCAACACTGGCTGAAGGATTTTATGTTCTATAAAACGGGTACTATTGACTTTTGTGAACGAAATGGATTGATTGTTACCAACACTTGGTTCAAGAAGCCAAAGAGAAGAATTTACACATGGAAGGCACCTGGGGATTGGAAGAGGCATCAGCTGGACTACATCCTTGTGAAACATCGATTCAGAAACAGTGTGAAGGATGTGAAGACGCTTCCTGGGGCAGACATTGACTCTGACCACAACTTGCTGGTTGCCAAGTTCCGAACCAGGTTGAAGAAAATTATAGGATTTCGAAAGCGCAGACCCAGATGGGATTTGGAGAAGTTATATGCTCAAAGACAAAGCGTGCAAGAGACCCTAGAAGAGAAACTCGGTGCAATTGAAGGTGAAAGCGGAAATGCTGAAGCGCAGTGGAACGATATAAAAGAATGCATGTTAGATACTATCAGTGATTTGGTAGGTAAAGTTGAGAAGATAGCAAGAAAACCATGGGTTACACAGGAGATGATGAGTAAAATGGAGGAGCGAAGGAAATGGAAGAATGTCAACAATGAAGAAGGCAGGAGGAAATACAGGAGACTGAGGAATGAATTGAAAAGAGCCACGGACAGGGCCAAAAAGGAATATCTTGAGAAGATATGTAATGAGATTATGGAATTTCAAAGAACAGGCCGTTATGATTTGATGTACATGAAGACAAAAGAACTAGGATGGAAAGAGAATCATGGGATTCAAAATGTTGGCATCGAAGACTCCCAGGGGAATAGAATAGTAGATCAGAGGCAAGTGCTGAAAATTTGGGAAAATTATATTTCAGAACTATATGATCGACCTAATCGGCCAGAAACCTTAGAAGTTGAACCGGAAGAAGAAGTAGATACAGACGAGAAAGGACCATATATTTTACAAAGTGAGGTGGAAAAAGCTATCAAGGAAATGAGGAAGGGAAAGGCTACAGGAGATGATGATGTACCTGGAGATGTGCTCAAGTTACTGGGAGAAGGTGGTTTGAAAACACTGACAAAACTAATGAACACCATATATGAAAGTGGAGAGTGGCCCAAGGACTTTACAGAAGTTACAATGATTGCCTTAAAGAAAAAGACAAAAGCTACAAAATGCAGCGACCATCGCACAATAAGTCTTATTGCACATACAGCAAAGATAATAGCAAAGATACTTAAAAGAAGAATTGAAAGGAAAATAGAGGATGTACTTGGAGAAGATCAGTTTGGATTTAGAAGAGGAAAAGGAACCAGGGATGCAATTGGGATGATGAGAATTATAGCGGAACGAACTTTGGAGATAGATGAAGAACTGTGTGTTTGCTTCATAGACTGGCAGAAGGCATTTGACCGGGTAAACTGGACCAAATTAATGCAGATCCTGAAAGAAACAGGTATCGATTGGCATGAAAGAAGATTGATTAGCAAATTGTACATGGATCAGAAAGTTAGAGTACGACTGGACAGGGGGGAGACAGGAAGTGTGCAGATTGGAAGAGGAGTTCGACAAGGATGCTGTTTATCACCAATTCTGTTCAACTTGTACAGCGAATGCCTTACCAAGGAAGCTCTGGATGGGCTCGGTGACTTCAAAGTAGGAGGGCAAATTATTCAAACTGTGAAATATGCAGATGACCTTGTGTTAATGGCTAAGGAAGAAACTGTGCTACAGGGCATGATTGATAGACTAATTGAAATTGGAAGGTGCTATGGCATGGAAATGAATGTGGAGAAAACAAAAGTAATGAAAATTTCGAGACAACCAACCCCAGTCACAATAAAGATAGACCAAAAACAAGTGGAGAATGTGAAATGTTTTAAATATTTGGGTAGCTTGTTAACAGATGATGGAAGGTGTACTTGTGAAATTAAATCCAGGATTGCCATGGCAAAAGCTGCATTTAGCAAGAAGAAGAATCTTTTTACCAGCAAATTGGACTTAAATTTGAGGAAGAAACTAGTGAAATGCTACATTTGGAGCATAGCTCTGTATGGGGCTGAAACATGGACACTTAGGGCAGTAGATCAGAAACATCTGGAAAGTTTCGAAATGTGGTGTTGGAGAAGAATGGAGAAGATCAGTTGGACCGATTATGTGAGAAATGAAGAAGTGTTAATTAGAGTCAGTGAGCAGAGGAATATCCTACATGAAATAAGAAAACGGAAGGCTAATTGGATTGGTCATGTTTTACGCAGAAACTGCCTTCTAAAAGAAGCTATCGAAGGAAAGATAGATGGGCGGATAGAAGTGACAAGAAGACGAGGAAGAAGACGTAAGAAGATGCTGGATGACCTTGGGGACAGAAGAGGATACTGTCATTTGAAGGAGAAAGCTCTAGATCGCATTAAGTGGAGGAATTGTTTTGAAAGAGACTGTGGACCTGTCGTCTTGACAGATTACTGATGATGATGATGAAAACGGGTACGTCTCTCTGACGTTTTGCATTTTATCACACGTTCACTGTATGGGGGAATTATGTCAGGTGTTTTCTTTTGAAAACCGTAACCTGCATTATCCAACCAATCTTGTCCAAACATGATATCTAAGTTTCTTGGCAAACTGTCAAAAACATAGCACTTTGGCTTTAAAGGTTCTAACGTGTTCTCTATTTTCAACTCTACTTGACCTGTTATGCCCGTTTGACTTCCTGTTACGCCGCATGTTCTGATATCCCTACGTTTCTGTACACTGAAATTTGTCAGTGACGATTCTTTTACTAGTGAAACTTGCGACCCCGTATCTATGAGAGCTATCGCAAGCCCTCTCTTAGTTGTGGACTAATTACGTACACTTCGTGGTGCCCCAAGGAATCATTCTGGATGATTTCCTCCGAATCGTTTCCTACGATTCCTATACGATCATTTACCATGATCCAGGGTGAATTCTCATGATCATTTACTACGATCCCTTTTGAATTCCCTACATTTGTGGTCCCGTCGGATCCCTTAAACTCGGAGGCGTCCCCTGGTCTTTCTCATTTCTTCTCTTACTTTCACTTTCACTTTCACTTTCACAACCTATCGGGCGGGCTATCCTCAGTTGCTCAGGATACCCTACTGCCCATTTCCCTGAGAGCGTCTTGCTCTGCAGGCCTCGGTTACATGTCCGACATTGCGGCATGCACCACACGTACGTTTACTCCTACAATCTCTCGCCTTGTGCCCTGCACTTTGGCATTCAAAACATTTTGCAGAGGTTACTACATTCACCTCCCTCTTTACCTGGGGTCTGTAATCTCTTCGCAAGTTTCCTACATTTCCTGGGTTTGGCCATGTCAATTTCCCAAATTTCCTTTTAAATCTCTGTGATTTAACTTCTCTTTCTTCTTGTAGCGCGGTTTCTACTAATTGTGCCAGTGAATCCTCTTCTCCCCTAGCCTTGACAATGTATTTAAATCTATCGTCTTTTATCCGGCTACGAATGTGCCCATCATAAATTCCGAAACTAGAATTACACCTCCTCGCATTTGGGTTGGTCTTTTCGATCCTACTTTTAGCTTCTCTCACGAGATCTATTCCCATGTTGTCGATTCTTGACCCCCACTGGGCTACTGTTTCACTGTTACCCTGTTTTGCAGTGAAAAGCAAACTGGCGTAGTATTCTAATGTTCTTTTGACCGCTCAGCTTTCTTCTAAAATAGCTTTTACTTGCCCCCATGTATTTCTCTCAGCTCGCGCTAGCAGTCTATCCTTGGCTTCTCCTGTCATTTTTTATTCGATAAATTTTAACAATAGAGGGTATTTTGTTGGGTACATCACCTGTTTCGCGGCTTCTACACCCTCACAAAATTCACATAAATATTTCGGATTACCATCAAAACTTTTGGAAATTAATTTGACCGCCTGAACAGCCGAAATGTACTCATTTTCATCCTCTGCCATAATGGTTTGGACTAACCTTTGGAAATTGAAGATGAAAGAGTAGAAGGGAAACCGAAGTTCAGAACGCTGTCCTACGCTCCTCTCTCGTCGACGGCTGCTGTCGGCTGGCACCTCTGCTGTCTCTCAGGATTCAACAAGGGTCGCTGATTACAGCTTGCTTCTACGGACCTAGCGGCTGCGTCCTTCCGAGTATCTCTGTACTCGAGGTACCTCCGGGATGTTCACTCCTCGAAGCAGGCTTGAATCCACCTCGGCGTCTTCAAGTTCTCCTTGCACTTCCGTCGGCAGCCTCGTTGAATTATACTCTCTGATGTTATTGCAACTATCCCACCAACGCTGACACCATGTAATGTAAGGCCTCTTCGTCACCTGTTGATGTTAAAGTTGCTAGCTGTGATCAGGACGTAGACGATACTTCAGGATAGTTATGACGTGGGTCAGCAAAGAAAACTAGGTCTCTTTTATTGCTGAGAGTATATTTACAGCTTTACTAAAGTCCAAATACCAGTAAGTAGAAATTACAGATTGAGGGTACAAGACCCAAGTGAACTCCTAACTGCAGTGAAGCAGAGCTTCGCCCTCTGAGACCTGTGCGTAAGATCTGAATATGGCGTACCCACACCTGTCTCTACTTATAGGACTAATCTGGGCGTTGGCTGGGGTAAAGAATGCACACGTGACATCCACTAGCGATGCATTAGGGCTAGCGATGCATTAGTCTTGACATTAAACAGAGTTCCCAGTGCATTAGCTCGAAATGGGGCAGAACGTTTAGAAAGAATCTTTGTATATCAACCCCAGATTAACCCTATAGCACACTTACACCCAGAATACACTTCAAACACTCAGAAATACACGTGGGGTGGCTTCCTTATTGCAAGCCCTCTCATCCACTGATTGTAAGGTCCTGACAGATTTCTGGTAATGGACCGAAGACATTTGAGTCACTCAGCTTCTTAGCTAAAAGGCTTCATATAAAATGCCCCTTGTTTGGTCTTCATGTTCTGCTAGACTGTTCCTTACACATGGTTCCGCATCCTTCTTAATACTCCCATTATAATGGTTCCCCTATAATAGTGCTTCTCAAACTGTGGGGCGCGTCCCCGGGGGGGCGAAGGGCTTGAAAGGGGGCGCAGCATACTTTCCCACAGATAAAAATTAAAGCTGCCCTAAATCAATTAGAAAAGTGACAAAAAATAGAAATACATATAGAAAAACTTTTGATGAGTATATGCTTTAATTATCATTAATTTCAAAATAACTAATAATTATTCCCTTTACCGGCAATTATAAAATGCGTATGCCAGAGACAGCGTTGATAGTTCGGCAACAGCCGTATCCTCTGAAGTCTAGACTTTTTAAAATGCTGTGTGAGTAAATGAGTGCCCAACACACTGCTCTGTTGTTTTTAGTGATGCTTGATGGCTTTCAAGAGGCACGGTATTAAAGAGAAAGTTTAAGCTGAGGCATGAGGTGTTCTGTTTTTTAAATGGGAAAAATCTCTCACTGGCAGACAGTTTCAGCAACAAGGAGTTTTTATTGAAAATGGCTTACCTCACAGATATATTTGAGAAACTAAATATCCTCAACACTTCACTTTAAGGGAATGAGGCAACTGAACTTTCTTGGAATGACAATGTGAAGGCATTCATGAGAAAATTAGAGCTCTGGAGAAACAGTATGGAAAGAGACACGCTAGACATGTTCCCTGCTCTGGTGTCAGTGGTACGAGACACTGATAATCCAGTGCTTCCAATGGACATTAAAATCTGCCTACTTGGTCATCTCATAATGTTGAAAGTTCATTTCGAAAAAGAATTTTGCAATGATTTTGATAAATTTAATTGGACTAAAAATCCATTCGAAAATGATCCTGGGCCGTCATCTCTGAATGTAAATGAGCAAGAACAACTCATCGATCTCACTAGTGATACGTCATTAAAAAGTAAATTTAAGGAATTATCTTTGTTGGAGTTCTGGATACATATTGGCAAGGAATTCCCAACTTTGAGCCAAAAAGCATTGAAGGTCCTGATTCCTTTCGCAACAACTTACTTATGCGAGACAGGCTGTTCTGCTTTGGCAGCTATCAAGTCAAAGTATCGTTCAAGGCTAAATATTGCTGAAGAAGTTAGAGTGGCCATTTCTGATATCGTATATCCACGTTTGGATAAACTTGGTTCTCAATGCAGGCCCATCCATCATACTGAACTTTGACATTTAAATGTTTGATTTTCTTTACAGAAAAAAATTAAAAACTTGTTAGTTAAATATCGTTTCATTTCAATGTATATTTTGGTTAATTGCAAGTGTTAAAAGTAATTTTTATTGTAGGCCTAATATTGTGATACTTTAATTTTGAGTAAAAAACTGCTAAATAGTATGTAGAAAAACACAAAATAAACTGAATGAAACGTCAAACATACCATGACTTCTATTTTGATAAAAGAAAACAGGATGGAGGCCTGAGAGTATTTTCTCTTGTCAGGGGGTCTCAGAGGTAAAAAGTTTGAGAACCACTGCCCTATAATATTAGTTACAATTAACTTGTTACTCATAAGATTATAATTATATATAGCTTTCCAATACATTCTTATGTTACATGGTATATTTCCTCATTACACTAGCCTGACTGAGAGTTGTAGCCGTCTCCCTTGTCTCCTCGAGGAAATAATACGTATTATTATAATATTACCGCAGATAGATCATAGCGAATTTTTGCCAATGTTTTCCCAACTCCTCTGTCATAATATCTGAAGTTATGAACGAACAAACGTCATCAGCAAGGATAAGAATATATTGACATTCTGAGTAAAATATAGTTAATAAAATCTTCTTGATAAATGATATGAACTCCGTCCCAAGTGCAAACAATATATTATATGTCCTTGATCTTGCTCTTCTTTACACTATATGTTTCGGCCTCAAACGGCCATCATCAGGTGTATACACTCACGTTGCTGTTACACTACACTTAGTCTAAAATTTAACATTTAAAACACATTGTTCCTTTCGTTGTTATTATGAACATCTACTTCGTTGATATCTGTCTGGTTTATAGATTAATTTTGTTACACACGTTAGCACTTATAAAATCTTTAGTTCTAATTTTAAAATTTAAAAAAAATTAAAGGATTTTAAAATTAGAACTAAAGATTTTATAAGTGCCAACGTGTGTAACAAAAATAATCTATAAACCAGACAGATATCAACGAAGTAGATGTTGATAATAACAACGAAAAGAACAACGTGTTTTAAATGTTAAATTTTAAACTAAGTGCAGTGTAACAGCTACGTGAGTGTATACACCTGATGATGGCCGTTTTAAGCCGAAATATGTAGTGTAAAGGAGGGCAAGATGGACATAAAATATATTCTTTGCACTTGGGACGGAGTTCATATCATTTACCGTATAGAGTGCAACAGGGTGCTTAAATATAATATTGAAAATCTTCTTGGCTGACAGTCGCCACGATAGATTTAGGTCATGCAGCAGCAAAATGTGGCCACATGGACGGTAACGGTAAATCCCCAAGAACATTTCATGTCTGTCGTTTTGAATTTTATCCAAGAGAAAAATAAATAATGCGGGCTTTCATTGTCTCTATACAAATTATTTAAAATAGTTCTCTCATTCGCCCCATCCTTGTTATAAGAGAAACAATATGCAATTTCACAGTATATCACGTTACTTACATAGTCATTTTTCTAATTGCTTTTGATAATAATTTCCATGATTTTCCGCTGTACATATTTATTGGCCTGTAAGTAACTTAGTGAAGAATGAGAATGGTGATCTGCTTGAAGATTCCCACAACGTTTTAAATAGGTGGAGGAACTACTTCCGTCAGTTATTGAACGTACATGGGGTTTGTGATTCTACGCACATAGAAATATGTACACATCAGCTATTAGGACCTCATCCTAGTTCTTCTAAGTTTGAAATTGCTATTATAAAGTTGAAAAAGTATAAATCGCCACGTAGTGATCAAATTCCGACAGAATTGATTCAGACAGGAGGTAAAATATAACGTTCTTAGATTCATTAACTCATTAAATAAGGAAGAACTGCTGATCAGTGGAAGGAGTATATTATTGTACTAGTTCACAAGAAGGGTGATAAAACTGACAGTAGTAATTATCGTTGGATACCGCTGCTATCAACTTCATACAAAATTTTGTACAATATTCTTTGCTCAAAAATAAGTCCATACAAAGATGAAATTGTTGGGATTATCATAGTTGGTTTTGACTTGACAGATCAATTAATGATCAGAGTTTTTACCTGTTTTTTGTCAAATGGGAATACCATGAGATAGTACATAAGTTATTCGTAGACTTCAAAGAAGCCCATGATTCAGTTAGGAGGGAAGTATTGTACAATGTTCTCATAGAATTTGGGGTACCCATGAAACTAGTCAGGCTGATTAAAATACGTTCAAACGAAACGTATAGTAAAGTCCGTGTAGGTAAAAATTTGTCTCATAATGTTCCTATTCAGAATGGTATAAAACAAGGAGAGGCTTTATCGCCACTGCTTTTGAACTTTGTTATAGAATATGCCACTAGGAATGTCCAGGAAATCCTGGTGGGTCTGAAATTAAATGAATGACATCAGCTGCTGGTCTATGCTTATGTTGTGAATCAGCTGGGTGATAATATAAATAACATAAAGAAAACCATAGAAAATTTAACTGACGCTAGGAAGGAGGTTGGTTTTGAAGTAAACGCAAAGTAGCCTAAGTTTGTGTTGCTGTCTCGTCCCCAGAATTCAGAGAAAATCATAACTCCATGATAAAAAATAGATCCTTTGAAAATGAGGCAAAGTTCAAATACTTGGGAACGATAGTAAAGAATCAAGATTTATTTCAGGAGGAAATCAGGAGGAGACTGAATTCGGGCAATGCTTTGTACAATTCCGTCTAGAATACGTTGCCTTCTCATCTGCTTTATAAAATTTAATTATATGCAAAATCATAATTTTGCCTGTGGTTCTGTATGGCTGGCTCTGACATTAAGGAAGGAACATGGACTGAGGTTGTTTGCGAACAGGGTGTCGAGGAGAATATTTGGACTGAAGAGAAATGAAGTGACAGAAGGTAGGAGATGACTGCATAATGAGGAGTTTCTTAACTGTACTCTTTGCCAAGTATAAGTAGAATGATCAAGTCAAGGAGTATGAGATAGGCAGAGCATGAAGCATGCATGGGGGATAAGGAGCGGTAGAAGAATGCATGTAGGAATTTGGTGAAATATCCAGAAGGAGAAAGACCACTCTAAGTCCTAGTTATAGGTGGAAGGATGATATTAAGATGGATCTTAATAGGATGGGTTGTTATGAGCTGGATTGATCTGGCTCAGGATAGGAACTATTGGAGGGCTATTGTAATTATGTCCATGAACCTTGGGGTTGCATAAAATTTTGTGAAATCCAAGAGAAGCACGGCAACTGGCAGCTTCGCAAGAAGGGTTCAGCCGCATTCAGTTAGTTATTTTTCTTTACGTGACTGTTCTTGAAATATTCTCCCAATCTCTTAAGCTGTTACAATACGTGCCATAAGAAACTGAGAGCATGAGTCCTGCTGAGTTCTATATTTGTGTATATTACACACACTTCAAAATTGTAAAAGCGAAAATCTAGAGCTTCAGTTTATTTCACTCAAGTTGACCACAATATTTGTAAGCTGTTAGAGTGTGAACATTAGTGTTGGTGCAGGACATACAAATAAAACTGGCCGAAGTACATAATGATAAATTAACTGCGTGACTAGGTACGTGACGTGTTCAGTGCCCCCACCTCTGCTCCTGCAGCTGCACTAACAACTGTGACACATACCTCAGACAACATTCACAAGGGCACTAAAGCAGAGAAATCAACTTGTGGCCTGCGGGCCATGTGCGACCCACGGAAATTTAATGCATCGGTAAGGAACTTACAGCTACGGCTGTCCCTAGGGAACTTAAATCGGGGCGAGGACTCCTGGCCTCCGTAATCCAGCATCATGGTGTTTGTTTAATTTTGTGATTTCAATCAATTTTATCATTTTGAGCAGTGATTTAAGTCGTGGAACTGTGGAACCGTGGTATTAGCAAGCAGAAACAGGTAGCTAAACCCCTCAGTGTTGTAGTAAGATAGTAGCCAGTTATATTAAAGGAGTACGACAAATGTTATTAACCATTCTACATGTCTTAGTAATTTGGAAAAGAGAATTAGCTTGCACTTTATCTGGCAGATGTGCTGTGGGTGGCGTCGATACTAATATTGGAAGTTTCACCCACAATACATGCGAGATAGAAACTGTTTCAAAATTTGAGCTGTAATAATTCAAACGCCGTTGTAGAAATACGTGTATATATGTTCTTATTATTACATACCTGTGGTATGCAAGTCCGGCAGGAGCTACCGGGGCTTCCACAAAGCAGATATAGAATTCACAGATTCTATTGACCAATTATCTTCTCTGTAATCACAAAACATAAGTTTATGTTTATTATTATAAGAAATAAGAAAGAAAAAAGTAATTGTCATTATATAAAGTTGTTGTTACAGACAAGGGTCTCCACATTTTGTTTATCCGTGGCCACTAAAATGTAAGTCGGTTCCTTGTAGGGCTATGGTAAGCTTTCATGCTGAACACAGTAGATGGTCAAGGTCTTTCCGATATTCACTCTACTGGATTTGCTTTAGTTTCGTTTTGGGCAGAATTGCCACAGTTCCTTCTCAGACAGAAATATCGTCCCTTGCAAACTTTCTAAGAGTTCCTTTATTTGTCCTGAGATATTACAAGTATAAGCAGCCAGTAAGTTTTCTAATATTAGTTGCACTGGGTTTTCTACTATTCAAGAAAACTGAGCTAAAGGCAACTAAAATATGTCAGGTAAAGTTTTCTTAAAAAGTTTAAAGTAAAATCTGAAAGCAAGATTCTTCCAAGACAAGTACACGAATATTTATGTCTTCGTATGTGTTCACTTTGTAATGAAGATATTGCTGGTTTTGAAAATCTAGTAAGCATTATAATTCAAAGCACATAGGAAACCACAGAGGCTATGTTTGTGCTACAAGGAGAGAAAACTTGCAGCTTTAAAAATGGTGGTTGAATAGAATTTCTACAGAAAATAATCCAGTGATAATTCCTGAGCACTATGGCAAGACGTCGTGTTGCTCACTTGTTGGCGGAGAGAGAAATTCTTTTTCTACGGGGAATTCCTAGGAAAATATTGAAAATAAAGAGCCATTTTCTTGAAATATTGTGTGTTTCTGTGTAGCGCCTCAAATTTGAGACTGGAAATTTAAGCCATTACCTAAATGTTCGAGACTTGCGCAAAGTGTTTTACAGCCATTACAATAGATGACAACACCTGGACAGGCAACTAGGTTAAGAATGTTGATGATCAGCATTTATGCGTAATAGCGTAAGTAAGACGCTCCGCTAACTAGGCCACTGGAGATGGTCATATGAGTAAATACGCAGCAATAAGATACCATGGGTCCACCCCAAGCCACCTAGAATATCCAATGAGAATATTACTTTGGGAATTGAGGACACTGAGGAGGAGTCAACTACCCTCTGTCGTCAACAGCTGAATTAACAAAATTGAAACTATAAATTACTGAATTTCGAGAGACTTGGGATTCTGATCGATCACAGAATATTGAGTTGTCAACCGAAGGCTCTCTTCAACATGGGCCTTACGAGCGGAGGCAGTGGGCCTGCATCTTGTACTACAAGTAAGTTTCTTTACACATAACAGCCATATTGTTTAATAGATTGTTGATAAAAGTGTTGTTGTGAGATTTGAATGTGCAAACTCCAGTGTGCCAGGCGAGCCCTTAGGGGAGGATACTAGAATCATGTACCATGCAATTGCCGAGGATGATAGTCAGGCAATAAGGGTTTTATAGTGTATGTGTCAAGGTTATGGTTAGCGTGTAGTGATAAATATAGTATGGGGGTTTCACTATGTATAACTAAAGGTAGATTATATTAAGAGTGAACTTTACGAAGGATAGTGTAATCGTATCTAATGAATAGTAGGGAAACAGGATCACATGGAACGATCAATACTTGCCTATAGTCAGGAGTCGAAGAGAGAGAGAGACTCCAGTTTTACGCCCCCGAAGGGGGAGGTTCCTAGTGTAGCGTGAAGTGAAGCCTATGTAGACCCGACTGAAAGTCGGCCTTGTAATAATGTAAATATTGTAAATCATGTAAATATAGGAGTGTAAATAGAGTAGATAGGATAGGATGTACGCAGGGAATTGTGATTCACTCTCCATAATCACCTTTCCTCGACCCATCCAGCAGATCCTACCCAAAATGAGAGTTGCTACAGCAGCCGAAGGCTTAAGGGGAGGTACTAGGAATGGACAGGGGTAGGCACCTGCCACAAAGGCAGTAGTTAGTAGCCTTGATGCCAACGCCCCCTTAAGATGTATTAATAATGTAACACGTGGCTACCTGTAAACTATATGAGGAGTTGTCAAGAAGGAGCTATGACTATATGTCAGGGGGTAGTTCCCACAATAGAGAAGACAAATGGTGGCAGCTTTAAGTGAGAAAAGGGAGCCCCGAAACCGGAGAATCCTAGCTGAGGGTAAGCTAGGATTATTGTGTTAACTCCTTACAGTGTAAGCTGTGGTGGTCAGGAGGGGGACTTTCACGCCCCCCTGCACCACGGCGTTACAAGTGGCGACAGCGGTGAGACAACCAATCCACCCCAGTCGCAGGGACGTTACACGTGGCGGCGGCGAGGGATCCCTCCCCGCCCAACTGCCGCCACGGCGTTACATTCTGTAAGATTAAATTGGTGCATAAATTAGTGTACAAGCAAGTACAGAAAAAGTAATTAGGCCACATTAGCACAACATTAAACCTAAGCATGCATCATATAGTAAATTAATCGTATGTGATAGTAATTTTGTGCAATACAATAATTGTATATGTATGTGATAAGCTTCGCGTATTCACATTCCAGATGTAACGCCTAATATCGAAGAAATACCCAATATCGTTTACAGAAAATCTTTTTTTTTTATTTATTTCATTTATTTATCTTAGGATATTTACAATCTACTCATAATGTACTAATACAGAGTAATGAGCAAATAGATAGTTGCGCGGCTTGTAGGGAGTACCATCCACTGTTGGGTTATCCTCCTGGCCATTGATGTTTGAATCTTCTGTTCACTAAGGGTTGGATGGCGAGTTCTTTTATTAGTTCGTTTTCGTGATCCACAATGCGGTTTCCGTATTTGATGGCTTGTTTGTCTATGGCCTCATTTATATAAGAAACTCGAAGATCTTCGTGGAGAGTTTGATTTGATACGAACCATGGAGCGTTAGTTATGTAACGTAGTGTTTTTGACTGGAATGTTTGTAGGATTTTGGTCTTGGACGGTTTACTACAGCCCCACAGTTCTATACCGTACGTTCATATGAGTGTGAGTATAGTTTTGTATGAGAAGTTTATTTTCCAGTGATAGCTGGGATTTTTTACCAATTAACCAGCTCACGTTTCCCACTTTTGTTGATAGTTGGAATCTCTTGGCCCGGATATGGGTCTTCCATGTGAGCTTCTGATCAAGGTGAAGTCCAAGATACACGTATTTGACTGTAGATTGTGTAAGGATTGGTGCATTGTTTATTGTGATTTGTGGGTACGTGTTCCGTTTTGTGGTGACTGTTATTTGCACTGATTTGTTTATATTCACTGTGATTATCCAGAGTTGTAGCCAGTCTTTGAGGGCATTGAGGTATTGCTGTATTATTTTGCTGCCCTATTAGGGTTTCTATGAGAGGACGAAATTACAGTGTCATCTGCAAACATAGCCAGTGTTATGTCGTATGCTTGTGGTATGTCAGATGTATAGATTAGATATAAAAAGGGCCAAGAACACTACCCTGTGGAACCCCCGAATTGATAGGGTGGTAACCGGAGGGTGTATTTCCAGTTTTGACTTGAAAGTGGCGGTCAGTTAAACAAGATTTTATCAGCAGGAAGAATTGACAAGGCAAGATATTTTTTAATTTGTATAGTAATCCCTGGTGCCATACTTTATCAAAGGCTTGTTGGATATCTAAGAATACAGAGAAGATCTTTAATTTGAAATTTCTTGAAATAGATAACAGCTTACGAAAGTAAGAATTAGTACTGAGTGCACTCAGTGCGTGGGGACATAGAATTTAACGCCGAATTCTACGAGTTTGCGTTGTAAGGCGAAACCATTCGAAAATGTTTGGAAATTTAAGCATTTGGAAAAAATACTTCCAAATAGAATTAAAAATTATTATATTCAGGGATCTGACCTGGTGTAATTTGGTAGCTCGTCACCGAAGATACCGAGTAAAGTACCGCCTCCTCGGTGATGATCGGCCAGACTACACGTCGTCACACCCTGTAAGACTATCTTAACCTTCCTAGACACAGCTGTAAGCTCAGACTTGCTTTTGAAGAGTTCTGTGTTCTAGGACATAGCGTAACGCCATGTAGTCTCTGAAATTCAACCAAAGTTTCGGAGGAACACGTAGCCTCCATCTTCAGCCAAGCAAGAAACCACTGTTCAGGAGTAAGCAGAGCTTCACGCTGGTATTTTACTCGGCTTATTCTTTGACCTTGAGTATGGAGGCGATATGTTCCTCCGAAACTTCAGTCGACCTTCAACGGGCTACACGGCGTCATATCGCAGAAGACAGAAGCCTTCGTAACCACCGCTGTGAGAATCTCAGAGCCTACTTATTAATTAGTAAAGCCACCGCCAACAAACGCCATATCAAGTAAAATACGTATATGCATTGGAAAACAAAATGTTCAGGACATATGTTCAGATGAAGGTTGACAAAATCAAAATTATTAAGTATTTTAATCATGAAGGTTTGTTTTCAACTGCTCAATATGAATTCTGAGGATACTAGAAACAAGGAGTCGCTGGGCTTGTGACTAGGCTAGGAGACAAAGGATGCATGGAACATTTTGGTACGGAGCCTGTTGCAGAATGTCCAGCCGAACGTACGAAGAAGATAATTTCAGCTTTGAGAGCTGGAACACGGTCGGGAGGAGGAATTTCTGCAGCTGAACCAGCGGGTTCTGCCACCACAAGGCTTGATACTTTTCTCACTAGTGCCATTTGGCCCTATGTCGCTAACCAGCATTCATACGAGTATTTCACTCAGCCAGACACCTCGTGCAGCTTAGGCCGTCATGACAGCTGCCATTCAGCAGTCTTGTGTTTGAATCGATAGTCCTACTGCTTTAGACGAAAGCCGCTGCTGACCCAGTCAAGGTGACTGCAGTAGGGTTCTTCAGAGCTGTTATTAAACTTTGTTGACCGGCGGAAATTAATTCGTTTCCAAGATATTGGAATGTGGAGGAACTCCACGTGAGTTATATTTGGGGTTCACTTTTATCATTCTGAAACTTCCCAGGTTATGTAAGGTCGAATGGGAGAGTGTTTGTGAATGATGGTTTGGAAAGGAAGTGAAGGGAACAGTCGTGATATTGCGTGCATGTTATGCCTACAGTGGCGTCATTTGAATGGAGAGACTGGAGAAAGCCACAGAGAGCCCTATAAGGATAGACAGCGCTCTGGTGGAAAATTGAACCCGAATGAGCGCAAATGACTCTACAGAGGTGTCCGATAACCTGATGTTGGTATAATTAAATGTGAGCTTGGGGAAATGGAAATTGTTCAGTGAAAAGCCAGTGTACGGAGATAGTTATTAAATCGCCACTATTTTTATGGTTGGACCAGCCTTGTTAACCAAACCTGCAAACCTTACGCGTCATAACTCGCAGCTTTTTATGGAACCGGAAAAATCATGTCAACTTCCACACTACCGAACTTACTGAACTCTGCCACCTGTACCAGCCAAGCCAAAGGGCCCTGCCTTCTTACATGAGATGATCATGTTGCAGATTGTGGTCATAAGGGACACAGCAATGCAGGTTTCACGACATGTACGTGTACTTCCTGGAGTGTAAAGTTTGAATCGCTGCTAGGAGACGCTGTCCTAATGGAATGATTCAGAATACAGCACTCTGGTATTGACAGAACCGTTCATTAAACTCTAAACAACAGAATAAACGTAACTTATCATTCTTTCACGGTTTCCCTCTAAGATGATAGGAATACTTCAAGCTGGTTGTCAGAGGAATGAGTTGTTCATGGTTCTCTTCTTCCGATCCATTGCCTGACGTCATGTGCTAGAATTGTAGTTAGTGATACTGCTTCATATTCCACTAGAGACCCGAGTCCGTCCTACAGAGATGTTGAAAAAATGGCAACAAAGCGGAGGATTCTCTGCTTGTTGTGGCCCTATTTCATTCATATATGGTACGTGTTTTCGAAAACTGTTTTCAGTTTGCGAAAACCAGAAGATAATATTTTATTCGGCCCCTGTGTGATGCTTCGAACAAAAGGTTCAAAATATTATATTAAAAGTCATCTTCTCAGGTTTTTACATAGAAGTTAACAAGTAGATGTAAACAAAATACGGGCAGTACGACTACATTCATGTTTGTGCTGAAACTGGGAGAATACGTTTCTCTTGAAGGCTGTTTTGTATTAAGAATAAAAGGATAAATATATATAGCTTATATTTTTTTCAGGAATCTCATTAACTTCACTCATAATAAAACTAAAATAACTTAATATAAAATTCTGTCAGCCATCCTAGAAAACAAAAAGCATATTTTAATACCAGTATCGTATTACAGAAGGCTGAAGCAAATTCTCGGAATTTTTAGTCCACACAGGAAACTAAACACAAACGTGAAATACATCTCCGTGAGAACCCCATTGCTTGCAAATGTTAAACATTGCCTCAATTTCGGACACACCCATTGTGTGATCCAAGGAATTGGAACGTATTAACTCTTGTTACTTTGTATCTTCCAGTCTTGTCCTCTGATGACTGAATAAATTGAAGACTTTTGACAGATAATATTGTAGAAGCGTGAGTTATGCAATTAACTGACATTTCTTTTTCCTTGGCACTACAGCCCCAGTGGGCCTAGGCCTACCTCCATGACCTTCTCCGTTCACTTATGTTTTCTAGAACTTACACATTCGGTAGGAATCCTTGGGCGGGTGATCAGCTCATCGCAAGACCTCTGCCTGTACACAAACACAGAAAAACGCACACACACAACTTAACATCCATGCCCTGATTGGGATTCGAACCCACGATCTCGGTTTCCAAGCGAGCGAAGACAGTACATGCCTTAGACCGCTCGGCTACCGTGACCGGTTCTAACTGGCATTTACGGTACAAGAACATTAAAAAAAATTGTAAATTGACATGAAAGTCGAAGCATATATTCAGAACTAAATTATTTTCAGCGCTCATACTTACTTATGATCCTAAGCAAAATACATCATTGAAGGTCGCAGTGCGAGGGCCAGTTTTATGACTCACCCCTCATACTCATACTTATGATCGTGGATGAAGTAGTCGGTATAGCGACTAGCTACGGGCTGTACGACCAAAGGGTCGGAGTTCGAATCCCAGCAGTGTCAAGAATTTTCTCTTCTCCATGTCGTCGAGACGGGCTCTGGGGATCCACCCAACCTCCTATCCAATGGGTATCGGGGGCTCTTTACCAGTGGTAAAGCGAAAGGGGGGTGAATTTGACCACTCACCTCCAACTAGTGCTGAGTTCAAGATAAATGCGGATTAATATATACACTCACCCGTACGCCTTTATG